CTGTTAATGACACGAACTGACCTCTGCTTTCTCTGACAGCTCAACAGGGTCAAACGATTAAAAAAACAATCACTAAGTGGAGAAACGATTGTGAGTTTGGGGATAGAAATGTGGTGCCAGCAGAGAGACAATTGCCTCTCAACTTATTTTTTTTCATACTGCTATGTCTTATCTGTTTTTGCATGCAAGCTATTGTTCTTCCATCAATATAAGAAGACGACAGTGGATAAGATGGGTAAGATGGATAGCCTAACTGTTTTTTCCACTGTGCTCTCCTCTTCTGAGATTTCTTAGCTCCTATTCCTATCATGATCTCTCTCTGTGCACTTTCTCACACGTCCCTTTTCTCTCCCCGTTTTTCTAGCAATGATTTTTTTATTATATTTCCTTTGATCTTCCTCTTCCTCTCCAGTCGTTGCTCTGCTGAGGCTCTTCACTCACTTTAATTGAGCAACTTAAAGATCAGTGGCTGATGCTATCATGAGCAGTCACTCAAAGGTGAAACCACAGTTGATTATACTTTGAATATATATGCGTTAAAAATATTTGGAATAAACAGACATGTTTGCATGTTTATATTTTCCACATTTGTATGCACATAGCTGCGTTTGCTTCTGAAAGTGTCTGGGGTAGGGAGTGGAATTCAACATGTAAAAAGAAAAAAAAAAGTGGAAAGCTGCTTGCTAATTGTATTGCTGTGCATGCTCTCATTTTGCACCCACTGTAGTTTCTGTCTGTTTAGCAGCTCTTTGATCAACAGATGAGATAGTAGGAAGGCTGCCTATGCTGGATTCCCCGCCTGATACACGGGTGGCTTCACTACACATTCTGCACACAGTGGGAGGCTGGACTTTTAGTGTGTGTGTGTGTGTGTGTGTGTGTGTGTGTGTGTGTGTGTGTGTGTGTGTGTGTGTGTGTGTGTGTGTGTGTGTGTGTGTGTGCAGGCATAATAAATGTGTGTCAGAGACAGAAAAGGAAAGAGGAAGAGATATTTAACTAAAGAAAGACAGTAAGTGAAAGAGAGGAAAAGACACATAATAAGAAAAACAATTGTGGGGTGGGGGACTCGGATAGGTAGTGCGCATTGTTTTTACTGGCTGCCTGGCAGGGTCCTCTCTGATGTTTATCCTCGCTGTGTATACTTCTAAATACTGCCTACAGTCACCGCTGCTTCACAGCCAAGTTCTGATCTCTCAGCTTGTTGTCAAAGGTGTTTTTCCTCGTCTGTCAATGAGCGTTTGTGCAGCTGAAAACTGCACATTGCTAAAAAGGCATTTGCACTCAGTGTCATTTGACCGACTTCAATCAGCACACAGCAAGTGCAATATATTACACTGCATTACCAAGTGTTTTGCAGAAAGTTCACCACAAGGAATGATGTGACAGACTCACATTGAAATAATAGGAAGAGTGCGCCAGCTCTTTTTCACTACAGATCTTTAGTTAGTAGTGTTTATGTCATTGCGCAATTATAAAACTTCCCCAAAACTTTGCAACTGTAAATATCACAGACAGACATCCCATAAAAGAACCAGTGTTCAAACTCAAGATGGTGCACAGTGCTTACGCAAATCAATAATGCTGTTGACTAAACTGTAATTGTGTTTTTTGATACACCCCTCACACTACAAGCTTAACAGGCTGCTTGTCTCCAGTCAGTAATAGCCAGCCTGCCTATCTGGGGATGTCATTAAAAGATAACAAAGACTCATTTATGTACAAATGTATTCACATAGATTTCCCATACAATCCATCTTGTAGAGGGCCTGTCTCTCATAATAGAAGTCATGAATCAACTCCCTTTATCGACACATGGGCTAATGCAAGTCCAGCTGGTTAATCAGCATATTGTTTAGGCAGTGATTTGTTACTATACCTATAAACAAAGATATTACATTGGTTACACAAGGGGTATGAAATATGAGATGTTAGATTATACTGGTTTACCCCCAACACATCTGTTTTCTTAACTACTCATCCAGTTCAGGGTCATGAGGGTGCTGGAGCCTGTCCCAGCTGTCACTGGTGAGATGCAGGGTATATCCTGGACAGGTTGCCCGTCTGTCACAGGGCTAACACAGAGAGTGACAGACAATCATTCACACTCACATTCCAAAAATTAGATGTACTGCAAAATTAATGAACCTTCACCTCTGATCGAACTCTGTGAAGAGTCACAGATTATCCTGACTTCTGCTTCTTTGAAGTGAAAATACATTTTAAAACTTCCTTTGTGACTAGAACTTTCTTTAATGAACAGCCCTTCAAGGAGCCAAGCTGTATCAAGGATGTTCCTCATTGCATTTTTACAGGGCGATCATGTTATGTGAGGAGTAAAGCCTGCAAAATACACAATCCATATCCCTCAGTGAATTAAAGAGGGGTCAAGAGACTGCAAATGCATGTTATCTTACTGGATCTACATGCATATCAAAGATAATCCATAACAAGGGGTACAAGGGTTTGCATGTGACATCACTGTTATGGATATTTTAAGTGAGCTGAATTTTCTAACCCATGCTTGATTTAGTGTCTAATTAATTCCTTAAGTTCTTGTGTTTATTGCAGGGGAGGGGAGAGAGGATGTATGGCATGTGAGGAGAGGTGGTGGTTCTTTGAAGTGGTGTACACCAAATCTCTAGAGGACAGCCAAGCCTGAGGCTGGACTGAGGCTTTGGAGAGAAGCAACAACTGCTTTTTCACTGTGAGGCCAAAACTGGGGCTTGTCATGGCCATGTTTGCAGCACTGAACTATTACCTGTTTATTTGAAATAAAGTATCCCATCAGAAATACAGTATCTTAAGATAGTAAAATGTCAGTCAAAACTATTTAGTTTTGGGTGAGACAAAACTACAAAAAACAACTAATTTGTGCTAGCTATTGTTACATTCTCTACTGGAATAAATGCTCTAAGCAACACTGAAAAACGAGATTCTGCAATTCTCTGCGGCATCAACCTCCCTGTGCCTACCAAGCTAATGAACTATCATCTATCTATCTTCATTCCACCCAAGGCCCACTTGTCCTTCCCTGCAGAGAGTAGCTACTTCTTGGCAGGTCTTGCTGAGGGGAATTAAAGCCTCCTGGCTCTAACGTAAAGTGTTGTGTTTTTCTGAAAGTCACTTTAAGGTGAGAAACAGAATTCAGTAATGCTACTTCTTGGCACCATCAAGTCACAAGAACATAAAACAACTCAATTCCCAGAAAAGTCTGTAATGATACTTCAAGTCAGCAAAAAAAAAAGAAAAGAAAAGAAAAAAAGAAAGAAAGAAAGCTTAGTTAAGATTAACTTGAAAGGAAAAAATAAAGTGCACATGCTAATGAGCTAACATCAGCATAAAAAACAACAACAGGTGCCGTGTCTTGCCAAAAAGAGATAAAACACAGGTGTGATTAATAAAAAAAAGGTTTCAGCCAGGGAAAATATTTTTTGATGAATGTGGTTCTGAAATGTGTTATACAAGGAAGTCTGTTCATGAGGATGGTCAAACTAATCACCACCATTTATTTGTATTAAGCCACTGAATTGCAAGATTGATTTAACAAAAGATGGCTAAGAAGTAAGCTTAATGTTCAGGTAATGCTACAAAGAATGAAAAACATTAAATACATAATTTGTAATATTAATCCTGCAGGGAGACATGGATTTTTGTCCACCATTTGAAATTATAAACCTTGAATTTGACTCACTGCATACTTTTGATTTATGATGAAAACATATCATGTTAAATGACAATAATTAGGTGTAGTAGCCATTTATTGCATTTTTCGAGCAATATGTCCCAAAATTTGTTGTAATAGTAACAGTGGTTACTATTAATACTAACAGTTCCTGCCTTGTACTCAATATGAGTATAAGAATGACTTTAAGCCAGCATGTACATTACCATGGCCCTAAAAACCAACCTTTAAGGAATTCAGCATCATCTTCTATTTTCATGCTTTACAAAATGGAGCCAATGACTCAACATTTTTGATCGGGAACTGACTTTTTTTTCTCACATGTTTCAAGTACACATGAAGCACTGACTTACTTTTAGCCTATTTGAAGCGATAATACTTCTGACAGAAATCACGCAAATCAACTATTCTTGAAATGAAAAAGATGAAAGTTTACTAATCTGATGAACTTTTTGTACTTTTGTGCATGGAGTGAAGCTGTGGAAGCAATGTGTACATATATATGTAAATCTGTTAATATAACTATATCCCTTGATGTGTTACAGGGTTACAAAACCAAATATATGTAGCAAAATGTAAATAAGGATTGATGATAGGACAGGACACAAACCGGAAGTTAAAGAGATAATTATTATTTACTAAATAAGGAAGATTAATTAATAATAGAGATTATTATTTGCTAAAAGTGGCGAAGGGTGGGATTAAATAACCGCATGCTTCTTTTTTTTTACCTCTTATGGGAAGTTAAGTTATTTATTATTATTATCGTTTTCCTTACATTTTGTGCTATTCTAACATCTTAAAAATAAAGCCTTATCTATCTTTTTATCTATCTAGATTTTTAAATTCAGATGTTTTTGTTTGTGTTTTAAATATTCCTTTATAATAACTATGCATACTACAGTTTTAATTTTGTTACATGTTTTTGGGGGCTTTGTTTTGTTTCGTTTTGTTTTTTTAACTGCTACCGAGACGCGTCAAAATATGTCCAGCGAAAAGGGTCTGTCACAGCCTATCACATCATTTTACATTTCTAAGATACATCATGGGAGGATAACTTTGTTTTTAAGTGAACAAAACACTCTCAGAGACACTTTCAGAGCTCTGGGCTTTTTAACTGTGGTTTTGTCTGGATCATACCATGATAACGCTTCTAAAATGAATTATTTTAAATGAGTCATTTACCGAGTTCAAATGTTATTTCTGTATACACAATGCTAACAATTATTGTGTCGTTATTCCGTGTCCCTTAACAGTTTGTACAAACACGTCAATCTAACTTTTGTCTTTCGTGTTCCTCACACACCTCCCCCTCTCTGCCAGTGGTTCGTTCCTCACTCCAGCTGATCGGCCCAGGATCCCCGGTGGTTCCGTCCGTTGCTGGCTTTGACGGCCCCAGCGTCTTAACGTCGACTTCAACTACTTTAATTTGACGGACTGGGTGGCTGCTTGTGTCGTCAAATTGTCCACCCTACACTGAAACTCGGAAGAATTATCTGGGCAGAGTGACGGTTGTATGCTTATCAAAGCCAAGGGGATCTAAACGCAAATACGAGGCCCTCACTCCATCCACGGATTCACCTGCTACACCGACAGCTTGACACGGGAGACAGACATGGGCGACACGGGGAGCGAGGGCAGCAAGCCTCCGAGTAACGTTAACGTTATACCCCCTCGCTGCCCCTGTGGGTTCTGGGGGTAAGCAGAATAACCTGTCAAACGTCTCGCTTTCTTTCTCTGCCAGTAGCTAGCAGAGTCGATAGCCACTAGCATTAGCAGCTCAAACAGGGATGAGCTGCTTTTCTCCTTATTACCCCCCTCCCCATTGTTTTGTAGCATTAGCTACTAGCTAACACCAGTTGGCCTCGGTAACCTTCTCCTGTAAAGGAAGGAAGCAGGGTAGGGAATCTGGGGTAAGCCTTCCAGGTTACGCGACAGGTGTGAAAGTGTTAATCAACTGGATAGTTAACGTGTTAAGTTCATGCATGAAGCAGTTAGTTAGAGACATCAAAGTGTCTCCATGAACCAGACTCTAGCAGAAAGAAACGGGCAACTGGTACTTTAAACTGAATGTGCCGGGGTGGCACAGACAAACTGGCACTGTGCAGTAATCCTGCTGTGTACAATTTGATTCATGTGTGTTGAGGCATATGTTAACTTTGCAACACATATGAGCCCAAATTAGGTTTTGTAATATGGACCGGTTGAAAAATGTATTAGTGTTATCACTCTTTGGCTAGTTCTTCAAATGTCGAATTTTAAAAAGTAGCCCACATTGTTGTATTTTAGGAAAAAATGGATACAAAATATTGTACTTTAGTGGACGTATTTATGATAGGCATTTATAAACACTTGCAGTCTTGAGTTTTCAGCTCAGTGGTAAAAAAAATCAGAGAAATGTAGCACTTAGCCAGACAAGAGAGGACCCCAAAATTAGTTCTCACAAAGTGAAATGAGACTATTGGAACTCACAAGTATCTCATTCCGTTTGTGTATATTTTACAAAAATGCCACTTTATTCACTAACCTTTGGATTAGTATGGAAATGATGTAAAATACAAAACTTGACTTGACTTGACACTGCAATGTCAGTCACCAGGTCTCATCAGAGAATGTGTTTTCCATGACCAAAGGCATCAGTTTTTTCTACCTGACTAGAGTTTATGAAGTATTTAAATATCTGTGGAGTTGGCACGCAAATAATCATATCCATACCGCCTTGGCCTTTGGAGAAGCGTTTAAATGGGTTTGTTACAGTACCAAACTAAACATGATGGCTCAATATTTAATTTTTTTAGTACATCAAATGTCTTTAATTTTTAAATGTTTTAAGTAGACCAAAGATTTGCTTTAAAAACAAGTTAATAAGTATCAACAATTATGAGTGTGGACTGCATACGTTCTGTTACTTGGATAGCTAGTATTATTTATTTAGACTCATTTTTTATGCCATCCTCCAACAACTTATCTGCTACCAGTGGTGGTATCCGTTGTAATGGTACCAAGGACACAGGCACATATCTTGGCCAGAAATAACTGTTTGCTGGACTGTGAGGATGCATAAATTGATTGAAAACGTCTTGCACTGCTTCTGAAAATATTTGGCTGTCATACATAAATATGAGTATTCCAAAAGTTCATATTGGGTAAATGAAAGTGAATACTGTCACATTTAGTATCAGACACTTGCTCTTTCTAAAAAGTTCAAAGTTTTTATATATTTTTTTTCTCAGACAAATTTGAGAAGGTCAGGTGCGAGGTATTTAATTAAACTGACAAGGAATAAGTCAACGCTAACTTAAGCTTTTAGTACATTTATGGTAACATAGCATGTTGTCGTCAGCACTTCACCCATTTCCGTGACCTCCACTTGTAGTCCGTATGTGAGTAGGTGCGAAAAAGGGCACATTTATTTTGTGCCTTCTGATTATTTTATTATTTTACTAATGAATGATTTTCTGAATTTTGCAGTTAGGCTGTGAGAAAACATATTTTAATGTGGCTGCAATGACAGAGTGAACTTCAACCATTTCTTGGCCACATTTATTTTAACAGTTTTGGGAAAGCAGTTTTTAAGTTGCCTTGCACATAAACAATAATTCACTTATTGAATCCATATTTTATATCATCATGTACCCACATGGATATAAAACATTTTATTTGTACTGAATGGCAAAATCATGATAGCACCAGCCCATTTTAAAGATTTCATATTAGCAGAAAAGATATATAATGCTGAAAATGGCGATCGCTGTTGACAAGGCTATGCAAAATGACTGGATTAGTCAAGTAATTACCCAGTCACTTAGTTTAATAACTTGTTCTGTATTGCTATCCACACCAAAACATTTTGGATCAATACAAGCACTAATTGTGTGCCTCGCAGTAGTTTGTAGATTGTGTCATTTTCAGAAAGAAAGCCAAAGCAGAGAACAAGCTGTTCGGTACTATAATAGGATGTTACAAAAGTCAGCAATGATGCATCCAAACTCTATAGTTTAGCATCAAATGCCCCTTCCTATTTAACTTTCTTCTATTTGTGAGATCTACTCGCAAGCAGCCACCTGATCTGCTTATCCGTCTATGTTCCAGTTGACTGCTCAGCTGTGTAAGTTGTAAGGGTAATGCTAAGTTGTCTTTTATGAAATGTCAATAAGCTAGTTTTTTTAAAACTGTTCAGGTCAGTGTTCTCTCCAGGCATTTTTCTGTGTGTGTAAGAGGATGGGGAGGGGGGAAAAAAAGCATAATTATGGAAATTAGCATTGAGCAAAACATTAAAAATCCTTTAGGCAATCTAAGAGCTATTCTTTCCAAAGTATGACCTTCAATTTTAGTGTATTAAAGATTACCGTTTGAATTCAAAATTGGGTGTTTGTTTGATAATGTGCCACCCTTACAGTTTCTTTTGAGAAACACATCGCCTAAAATAAAATAGGTATTTCTAGCACACATGAAGAACTGCATGGTATGTCTGCTTCCCCAGTAACATAAAACTAAAACAGTTCAGTCCTTTGCCGTTACTTTTTACCCCCAGTAAAGGTATACCATCACCTTAAAAGTAATTGAGCCACATGCACTGGTGATACTATGCTTTGATTGCTTTCTATCACCTGAGTTCTAGCTGTATTTATGTTGCCTTTCATTTACCTGCTCATGTCAAGAAAAATTGTTAAAAACTAATTTCTTCAAAACATTTATCACCCTTCCAATATCTCACTCCTTTGTGTCACTCAAGCTGAATCACAGAGGCAGTGGAGCCTGTCTTCCTGTCTGTTCCAATCAGATATTCTCATTAGTAACAGCAGTAGGCCAACTATGAAATAGACATGTTGTGTGCACTCTGTTCAGGCTTCAGTCAGCTTAACAGCCATGGAGCTGTTTTTTCTCCTGCATAGTTTTTCTCACCCTTCTTCACCCTTTTAATTTCCTTAATGAATCTGTAGTTTGATTACCTCTAATTGTAAGGTTGATAAGAGGATATGACTTGATGTTTACCCAGCATTGGCTTCCTCCCTGCCTGCATGTAATGATGAGGTTTCTCCTCTTTCCTAACTTCTTGCTTCATCCTTTCCCTTTTATACCTGAGACTACACACCAGGAGACTGACAGAAAGCCCTCAGGTTGACTGCAGCTGACCCCACATTTAGAAATGAGGACAAAGGTGTGCAATGGAGCGCCCAAAATAAATAGAATGTGACTGATAGCAGCGACCGTCACGCTCAGTGCACAGACAGTAAGGACGAAGGCTGCAGAGGAAATGAGAGGAGCCTTTCTCAGACTAAACCCAGAGCCATCTGTTGTGAAAGAGCTGTGCCACTGAAATCAGCAAGGCTCCATGACAATAGATAACTTATATCAAAAGTCTTTATCTGCCTTCAGGAAGGAAAAGTATGTTGAGAAAACTCTAACTACCACACTGATACTTTAACCCTTACTGCTAACCACTAGCTTTGAGTCTGTATCCCCATTAACATACTATGGGGAATTTCATAACAATCAGAGGGAACTAGTTGACTTTTGTTCAGCTCATATTAAAGTAGTTTTAAGAACCTTGTGATCAAAGTGAGACAGAATCTAAATCCAAAACACAGAAACATAATGTAAATCTGTACTTATATTGACTGTTCAGATTGTTCTGGTAAATACGTTGGAGGACTGGCATGTCCAGTGTGTGTCAAAAAGAATTATCCAATTTCTTTAGGCAATGAACATAAAAGTTTGTGGTACATTTTAAAATACATGACTGACTATAAAGTTTTACATACAAAACCTATGTTTTGTATTCACAGCTGCTCAATATGTCCCCCCCAGACGCACTTATGTCTGTACAATCAAACTGATCAAACTCAAAGATAATTCTGTTATGCTATATACTGGCAACCAGATGAAACTCAGAAAGCCCCTCTCTCTAACAGTACGTGTTTCGATCGTTACTGGTGAACGTCTGCAGAATTAAAGTACTTTGAAGTCAGAAGATTCTTTTTGATACGCCCTGTATTTGTAGCAATAATCCATACTTTAGTTTGTACTGCAACAAATCAGTTTATTTTACATTGTACAGACACTATGTGTGACAGGTTTGTTTTCTTGAGTTTTGAAAACTGGATAGTTGTATGAAATGTGTTTAAAATTGATTTAATAAAGAAAAAAAAATAGTCTTTGTAAGTTTTTGTAAGTGTACATGAGCAAAAATATAGCCAAAAACATACATTTCACCGCTCACTCTCACTTTTATCTTAGCCTCTTGTCTGTTTTATCTTATACCTTTTACTGCAAAACTGTTTTTAACACTCAGACTGCTCTATTAACACAATTGCGTCGCATTCCTTTTCCTCAGGTCAAGCAAAACCATGAATCTCTGCTCAAAATGTTTTGCAGGTAAGTTATTGTTTTAGTGGGAGTTTGTTGACTGATTTTTCTGTCTTAAAACCTCCAAACAAAGAAAATGTCCTCATGTCCATGTTTCCATAGACACTCAAAAGAAACAGCCAAACGACGACTGTGCTCCAAAGGCCTCTTCAAACTCTAACACCAGTCAAGCAGACATGTTCTGTAATGAAACAAACAACAGCATTAGTCAGTCCCTCATATCAGACGACCCTTTGCCCGGAGAGATAGGAGTGACATCTCTACCTGTTCAGGACGGTAAGACAATCAGCAAGTTTTTCCTTTGGATCTGTGGGTTGTGAACATTTACACTTTAAAATATTATGAACTTAAAGGCTTGGTAATATAATGTGTGTAATTTGTAATGTGCGCCCTACACATGGAAACAATGTATGATTCATAGATTTCAAATTTAGAAGTGAGTTAATGTGTGCCTTTATAAAATTGAGTTGTCAAAACCAGAGCTTTTAGATGAGAGCATTTTTCTGTGGAACACTGTTAGTAGATTCTGCCAGCTCAAGCAGCAGCTGCAGTATCCCTGTCCTGGCTATATTTGTCCTCATGGCACAGATAGAATGATAGGAAAGGGCATCTATTCAGAAGTGAAGGTTTTAAGAGGACACCTACAATTGCCAGGGCATCAGTCATTGCTATACAGTGACAAGGTTATTTGTGGAGGCCAATTCATAACAGAAAAATAAAGTGGCTACAAAACGGATGTGCAGAAATGGTATAAAAAATGCCACACTAACCTGGTCTTTTATTATGTTATTAAAATAATAAAAGACCAAAACTGTAAGGCTAGACCCCCTATGCTAAGTGAGCCTACCGCAGACATGAGCGAGACAGATAAATATGAAGGCATGCCGGCTCGGACTTCGCCCGGATCAACAATGTCCACGTCAAGTGTTGAGGAACCAGGGCACCCTGACGAGAAGTGGGCTACTTGAACAAGAAAGCATCGGTGGGCAAGAGACGAAAACAGGGCGTTGTTGGAATGCTACTACGCAAGTAACCCTGGCGGAAGGGGTTACAAGAATAGGATGAGGGACCTATGGATTCTTCAATACCCAACATCCACAATGAAGGCGAAACAACTAGTAGCTCAGCGTTCCAACATTCAAAAGAAGGGACTGCTCTCACAGCTAGAGATTGATGAGGTACAACATAAATGCTACAGCAAGGGGGAGCCAGGACGCCAGGTCAGGGGGGAGATATCATCACCCCCACCCGAGATTGGGTACAAAGCCCCAAGTACGA